GAGAGAGAGAGAGAGAGAGAGAGAGAGAGAGAGAGAGAGAGAGAGAGAGAGGAATGGTTTAATGAAGGAGATGCTATTCCTCGAGTATTTTGGCATGTCAGTCATTAGCGGCTGTCAATCGGCCAATGGCGGGTTTATTGGTCACCTAGTTTCCACGTCATCCATCACCCCTTTTCCACATCATCGCGCCTCTGTGCACGCCTATGTGTCAAGGGCCTTTTTCCCTAGCGAGGGTGTCCGACGCAGAGGCCGTTGATGCTTGGGCACTCGCCCCATTGTGTTCGCGCTGAGAGTGCGAAAGTCCCAGCGCCAGTCGAACCGAGTGAGCGCTTTGTATTTAGATCGCCTAACTGAAGACCCACCCAATCTGGACTGCCCTCTTCAGTCGCCAGTGGACTGAATACTGAACTCGAAGAAAGGCCCCACTACCGTGACGATGAACTGGTCTATCTTGTTGTCCCCTTTTAAATCCGTAATGTGTGTTCCGAGTGCTCCACTGATCATGCTGTCCGCTCCAAATACGGACAGCATTGAAAGATTAGAAGCGTCAAAAGCCGCTCTTTCGTCGCTAGTTCGTTGTGAGATCGGCAGATTGGGAGATTGGGAGCTTGGGAGATTGGGAGTGTCAGTCGGCTGTGAGAGGTTGACCCGGACCAGCATTGAAAGGTCGCTGACCTCGGTCTCCACTCCTCGGATTCTGCATCACAGAATCAATCCTGCTAACCATTGTAACTGTAAATGATCAGTGTTGATTGATATCATAGGATAGAAGGTGAATTGACTCGGTTTTTTGTTCGGACTCTCTTGACGTTTCGCCTCTGAGGATCCTACACAGACAGATGTTGGTTTCCTGCGGATTATCCGTTGCGTAATTATTGAATTTCATTCAATAACGAGGTTCAAGGACATCTCGGCACGTCGTTAGTGCTTTGCGAGATTGAGGTTACAAGTCTTTCTTTGCCGCGGCCGAAGCAGCAAAATTTGGTTTACTTTGACTGTCACGTAAGTGTGCAAGACGTGGGCAGCGCAATCGGCTGTATAAATAAAACCACATAATAATGCTAATGTAACTGAGAAAGCACAGCTCGCGTAGCGCACTTGTGTTAGTGTTTATCGTCAAAAAGATTGAAGCTAGTGTTTCTGCCCCGACGGAAGCAGCAAAATTTGGTTGATTTCGACTGTCACCTCCTGATGAGTCGGTGAAACTCCGACGAAACAGTTTGTCACAGCCCCTCGTTTGTTGTCCTCTTCTCTCTCTCTGCCTACGGTTTACCGGGCAGTTCTGTTTGTGACGATATATATATAATCACATAATCATGCTAATATAATCGTCAACCAGAGTACGATATATATCATCAAACACGGTTTGTTTAGCGCACGTGATAATACTAGTGTATAGCGTCAGACAGATGATATGTATGTGAATGTGTATAAGATATGATGACTCGGTGAAACTCCGACGAAACAGTTTGTCACAGCCCTCGTTTGTTGTCCTCTTCTTTATCTCTCTCTGTGCTTACGGTTTACCGGTCAGTTCTGTTTGACTATATATCCTGTATGTAATTGAGAAACAGAGTTCACCTTTGAGCAGATCTGACCTCGTTTACTAGATGGTATGAGAAGAAGGCGCGCGCGATTGCGGTGATCCCGCACGCCTCGCCGTGGTTGCCGTTCAAGACCGCGGCGCTGTCATTCCCCATTCCTGTTGCGCATAGAATTTGTGCGGCCATGTGATGTTAGCCCGAGGAAGGGGAGGCTGACTGGACAACTGACTAAAGCCCTGTTTTTTTGGGTAAAAGGCTTTTTGGGAGAACAGCCTGACGTTTTTCTTCACTTTTCTGGAATCGTTTTTCTCCCTCTCTCTCTCTCTCTCTTTGTCTGTGCTTTGGAGACAAATATCGGGATGCAGAGGCACGCAAACGCACCACACACACCTGCACGCACAGACAGACACACACAGACAGACAGACACACACACACACACAGAGACACAGAGAGAGAGAGAGAGAGAGAGAGAGAGAGAGAGAGAGAGAGAGAGAGAGAGAGAGAGAGAGA